CTCCTCGTCTCCTACTCCCCTCGGGGGTCCCCTCGAACCCCCCCCCCTCCTTTTTTTTTCGCTGGCCCAGCTCCCACTCGCTATCGCCTCGTCTGTTCCTCGGGCATGACAAGCCGCCCCAGCTCCTCCCCAGTCCCTCCGCGACATGGTAACTAAGGCTGGTGGCTCACCTCAGTCTCTTGGCCTAATCACTTCGAGACGATCTGCGGGTTTGGCCGGATCCAGGGCACGCACACCTCGCCCAGCGCCCAATGGTACCAATTTGACCGTATACCATGGCAACGGCCAGCAGGCGTTGGGATTTATGGCCATCAGACTGGCGGTCAACATGTCGGGACGGGGAGAAAATGTGTAAATACTGTCTCCTACAGATACACACACGCACGCGAACAAGCACAGCCACAGACTTGGAGAGAAATGCCAAATGTCGAAGAGGAGGCCGGACTCGAGGAGGATCCTGGCAACTCGTGAGGTTGTGTGCATTGTGATGGTGCCCATGTGTTTCACAACTGATTTGTGCACAGCTAGGCCAAGCTAGGCCAAGGAGAGATGGACAAACAAGATTAAGGCCCCCTCAAAAGGATTTGCTGCCGTGTGGCCGTGCTCGAGAAGGCGGTGATTAGCGGAAGGGTTCCCAAGATAAGAAGGGACCATGACAACTGGGCGGAGTTGAGCTCGAGGTGGTGAAGCTACGATTGGAGCATGAGGACGTGACATGCGTCACAGGCTCATGGACAGCCGCGGGGGGCTTGAGACCAACTTGGTTGTCTGGTGGACACGCTGCGGCAACCCAAATGCTGGTTGAAAGAAGAAAGGAAAGAGCGCCTCTTGCGAGTAGCGGAAGTGGAGAGCAAGAATCAACTTTTGAGAGAATGCCACTTTCAGACTTTCGGCAATTGTGTGTGTGTGTGTGTGTGTGTTTGTTTGTTTTATCTTACGAGGAGGGGATGATGAGGTGAGAAGGTTTTCTATTTGACACAAAAGCCGACCTTATGTCTCGGACCAAGTTAAAAAGCTAAATTGCGTCCAGATGCGTCATTGTGTCTCATGCTGACCCTCTTCCCCTCTCCTCCGCACAGAACACACCCACTCAAGTCTCCCTAACACTTTTTAATCCGGAGCCCCCATACGGAGGATGCCGTCTTATTTAGGACAGTCGAACTGTCAAGTCAACGATTACCGTTCGGCTGGCCTCCTTTCACGTTGTTGGGATTACTTCCATTTCGAGTAGAAGTGTTGGGTGAAGAGTTTCGAAGGTCC